GATCTGGGACTCTCAAAGCTAGAAATTCTCCCAAACATAGTGAGTGTATTTAAAATGTAGCCAGAAATAGGAGAAATATCCATCATGTGCTCATGTTATGGATGAAAAACTGAGGTCCAGAGAGACCTGAGTTGGGACTAGAACCCTTCAATAACTGTCTGCATTAGTTTTCTATTGCTGCTGTGACAATTTCCCACAATCTTAGAGGCTTAATACCTCATGTTTATTCTCTTACAGTTCCAGAGATTGGAAGTCTAAAAGCAAGGTGTCAGCAGGGCTGCATCTCTTCTGTAGGTTTTGGGGGGGATCCGTTTCTTTGCCTTTTCCAGCTTCTAGAAGCCATCTGTGTTCCTTCCTCATGTCACTCCCATCTCTTGCTCCCATCACCACACTCACTGTAGTCTAATCTCCTTCCACCTTCGCTTTATGAGGACCTCATGATTACATTTAAGGGCTACCTGGATAACTCAACATAATCTCCCCGTCCCAAAGTCCTTAACTCCTTCACCTCGACAAAGTCTTTTTTTTTTTGGTCATTTAAGGTAACATATACAGGTTTCAAGGACTACAGTGGGGACATCTTGGAGGGCCATTATTCAGCCTCTCGCTGTCTCCCATCAGTGGTTTAAAGAACTGTATCCAAGGCTTCTCTCTACTGTGGATTCCTGCAGAGCTCAGCCAATGGAGGCACCACAGGCAGGGTGGAGAGTGGGGTCAGGGTGTTCGTCCCCCAGCTCCTGTTGTATCCGGCCAGCATGGGTTGGCTGCACCCCTGTACTGAAGCCACATACAGCCCTGTTCTGCAGGTTCTGGAAGCCACTCCCTTCCCTTGCCCCTTCCCCACCTTTGCCAGCCCCAGGTGCTGCACCATCTCTTGTTCATGTCCTTACACCCTCGCACACCTTTGTTAATACCCCCGTCTTAAACCCTCCTCAGTGCCCCAGTTTAGTGCCATCTGTGTCTGGCTCTGTCCTGCTAAAGAGTCTTTCCCCTCTCGTGTCCCAATCTGACCACCACCCCCTCACCCTGTTCAGCATCTGTGTCCCCCACTGTGCTGTAAACCCTCTGGTGATAGCAGGTGAGAGCAGGGTCCAGGGACATTTTGGTCACTGTGGTGTTCCCACTCTAGTGCCAGACACAGAGCAGGCACCCAATGGATAAAGCGAATTAAAGAATTCCAGGGACTTGAGCGACAGGAAAGAATAGCGTCCTCCTCCATCTTCTCCCTTGGTGTGTTGGGTGATTTAGCAAATGGACTCAGGGAGCAGGGCACATTCCTGGGGATTCTGCATTTTTCTGTCATTTTGAGGCTGTTTGTTCTAGTGTGTCAATTGTGGGGGGGGGAGAGATTATGGAAGTGAGGAAGCTAGCTGGGGATATCTGGGAAGTATATTTATAGTTACACTATTTACTGAGCTCTTACCGTGTGCCAGGTATTATTCTAATACTCGTATATATTAATCCTGTCCTCACCGCAACCCTGTGAAATGGGTAGTATTAGCATCATTAATGTACCCATTTTCCAGATGAAGAAACTGAAGCACAGAGGAAGTTAAGTCATCATGCTATGCTACCTCCACGACAATTAATTTACTCCTAAGCAGACCTCACGGTCTTTGCATCCAGGTGAGAATCATGACATTTGGGGCAGGGTGGAGGGAAATTTGTGCGTTCCTCATCTTCTCCAAGTCCCAAGCTCTCCATGTGTCCTCTTTGAGGCTGAGACCTCACCCGTCTCCCTGCCCTGGGACTCACATTCTTCCCTGCCTCCACACCTGCTCTCCTTTGCACCTGTTAAGATGGAGGTGCCCCTTGTCCCATCCTGCATCCTGGGCCCCTATCGTCTCCCATCTCTGCTGCTGCTTGCTCTGAGACTTTGGGCAGGTTGCTTCACCTCTCTAAGCCTCAGTTTCCTTTTCTGTAGAATGGGGGTGGATTTAAGGAGACTGCATAGCTCAGTGCCTGGCATGGGACTTCTCCATCCCTGCCAGCTCTGGTTGGCACTGTTCTCATGACTTCAGCCCCTCAGTCGCTCTCTTAGCCCCTGTGATCAATGCCCTACTGCTCTACGGTTCCTCCTTGGGGGAAAAGCCCCTCATGCCCTCCATCTTCCTCCAGCAACCTCCTTCTCTCTCCTTCATGGTACGGTTCTTCGAAGAGTGGCCTGCGAGCTCTGATCGAGTTCCCCACTTCCCTTCCCTCCTCACTCCAGGTCAGCCTGGTTTCTGCCCCCGCACCCTCAGCCAAACTGCTCTCATCAAGGCCGAAATCCAAAGGTGCTTCCTCGTCCTTGTCTCTCTCGACCACTCCACAGCCTTTGGCCCTGGTGACCACACCCTCATTCCGGAAACTGTTCTCTGGCTTTCAGGTGCCCCAGTCTCCTGGTTTCCTTCCTACCTCTCTGGCTTCTCCTTCTCCATCTACAGTTCTCCTATCTTCTATGTGCCCTTTAAGTGTTGGGGCACCTCAAGCCACCATTTATGTCCTCTCCTCACACCACACACTCCCCAGGCAGCCCCACGCCCTCCAGTGGCTTGGTGGCATCTCACGGCTGACAAATCTCTCTTAAGCCTAGCCCCCTCTCCTGAGCCCCAGGTGTCCCCCGCATGTCACCCCTCCCTGACATCTCAGAATGTAACACAGGCATCCCACCCTCAGCATGGTCCCACCTGAATCCAGCGTCTTCTCTGAACATGTTCTTCCTACTTATCCCACCTTGGTTCCCTGAGCCTGGGAGAGATCTCACTCTCCGTGCTGGAAATTCTCCGCACTGCAGACCCCTTCCTCAGATCCACTCTCCACCCTTCCTCCTGCTGTGTGCCTGAGACTGACCTGCATGCGCTGCACCTACTGCCTCTCTTGACCTGTGGCTTCAGGTTGGGTTCAGACAGTGGGAGCTGGCAGGAGGCTGCTGTCGGGGTGTGCACTCCCAGGCCCCCTTCTCTCTTGGGCATGGATTGGTGACGCCTGTGCTTGTCTCCTACACTGTGGTCACACCCATGAGTTTCCAGCCTCAGGTAACTCTCTGTTCCCCCCTTCAGGCACCTCTCCTCGTTTGTTTTCCTTAACCCTGGCTTACTTTTTAATAGTCTTATCACTAAACTCTCCCTGGCTACTCCTTTGAATGCACCACCTCTTTTTTGCCAGAATGCTCCCCCTGAACCCCCTCACCCAGCCCGATCCTCTCTCTCTAAGTCACCCCCTTCTCACCATCCCTCCCCTACCACCATACTCCAGACCCCCTTCTTCCGCTGCCTGGGTTCCTGCTCAGACAATATCAATCACCTGTCCCCCACCTTCACTTAAATTCCTTCCAAAGCTGCCCTTTACTCTTAAGATGAATTCCAAGCTCCTTAGCAGGGTCTCATAATTGGTCCTCTTAAGTTCTCTCCACTCCTCACCCCGCATGCACCCCCTACTCCATTCATGCTAATCACTTGCAGGATTGTGAAGAAGCCATTATCTCACAAGTCTGCACACCTTTACATAGGCTGTGCCCTTTATCCAGAAACACACACACACAGACACACACACACACACACAGAGACACACACACACACAGGCACACACACACAGGCACACACACACACGCACACACACACACCCCTCCCCCTATTTCAGGATTCTGAGAAAATTATTTGCTTTATTTAGAAAACCTCCTCAATCCCTGCTCTCCAGCTCAGGCAAATTAGGGTCCTTCTCTTTTGCCCTGTAAGGATGCTGTATGAAGAGGAATAGTTGTGGCTGTTGGGTGGGGGTATGGCTAGTGGAATCCCGTGGACCTCGTGTGGCTGGGGGATGTGGGTGTATTCTGCAGAGGCCTGGGGGCGGGCAAAAACCCAGACTACCTGGTCTATTTCACAGTTGCCTAAATCTCAGTCAGAGACTTCATTAGCTCCCTTCTGAATCCCAACTTCCCACGGGAAGACTGTTTTTCAGGCAGAATTTCAAAGTTTTATGGCAACTTTTACAGAAATCACAGGAAAGACAGCGGCTGGTGCTGATGAGCTAGAGAAGGGGAGAGGGCAATGGGCCTGGGATGTTGGGGCTGATGCACAACAGGATGGTAGAAGGCTAAAAACCTGTGGGAAGCAGGAGGTTATGGGGATGGCAGGGCCATCCTAGGGTCTCAAGGAGTGGGTAGCACTTCCCATACCCCAAGTGTGTCCTTTAGGCAGAAAACATCAATAGTAAGAAAATGCAGAGGGCCTACCATCAGTTGGGTGGCCTCCAAAATTAAAAATGCCCACCCAGACCCCCTGACTAGTCCCACCCTCCCTCCCACCCCCATACCAACCCCCACCCCCCATCAGGCAGAGATGTGGCAGCATTTGCTGGCTTGTAGCATTGGTCCTCTGGGACCCTCGGTCTCCTCTTCGAGGGTCTTGCCCAGATTGGCTGGCACTGAGGGCAAAATGAACTTTCTAGATTGTCAGGGGAGATCAGCTGGACTCCCTTTGATTCCCGGCCTCCTCTCCAAAGCCGATTCTCATTTCTCATGGCCGAAGGAGACTGCTGCCCTCTCGAAAGGAAAGTCTGTCACCCCACCTTCCCCAAGACATGCACCCTCCCATGTCTCCCCTCCCCCAAACACACTATATACACACACAGGCCCCTCCCTCCAAGGCGTGTCTGGGCTCTCGGAGGTAGTGGAGGGCGAGTGGAGGCGCTGGAATGTGAGAAGTTGCGGTTCACAATGTGCCTCCTCCAGCTAAGCCTTGGGGCTGAGACCCCAAACCTCTTCTCTCCCTTCTCCAAGCCTCGAGACTGTGTCCTCCCAGGAGCCTGAGTGGAGAAATCAGGAAAGGTGTGCGCCCCCCTTACGCACACACTCACCTGCTCCTCCCCTCTGGGGCTGAACAGAGCTCCCTGAGGGCTGGGGGAAGGGCTGAGATCGGTGACACCCCGGGGTGCATCAGCCTCCTTCCAAAGGTGCCCCAGGGAGGGTAAGTTCTGAGGCTCTGGGGCACGGGTTGGGGGGTCGCTAGGGGAAGGAAGACTTACAGGACGGAGCCAGGCTGGGCGTCTAGGAAGAGAGACGTTAAATCCTCTAGGGGAATGGTCACGGGGCGTGGGGAAGGGTGCGTGTTCTCTGGGGAGGGGCCACAAGGCGGAAACCCTCCCAGGGTGCAGACGGGACGGAGCCGAGGGGCGGGGCGGGGAGGCCGAGCTGCTGGGGACAGAGGACGGGGAGCGCAAACGCAGGAGAGTGCGGAGGGCAGGGGCAGCCGCGCGTCCCGGGGCAGGGGCAGCCGCGCGTCCCGGGCCCTAGAAGCCGCGGATGTGGCAGTACGCCTCGAGGC